AAATAAATAAAAAATTATAACCTGACCTACTAGTTATTGAATCTTTTTTTAATAAAATGTTTCATTATTATTATCATCTAAGTCTAAGTCGTTTAATTACTTTTTAGTTTTTTAATAATTAATTTAATTTATTCTAGTCATTTTTATATGAGAAAAATAATATCACGTATACGTTTTATAATGAATTAATATATTTCGGGAATCGAATTATATATTCTTAATAATATAAAAGTGTTCAAAAATTATATTTGACTTTTAATTTTAATTATTTTATAGCAAAGAGTTCCGAAATCTCTTACACACATAATGGGGATTTTTTTCATCCATATAATTCGCAATTAAGTATATATGTTAATTATTAATTTTAATAAAATAAAAATTAAAATTAAAGGTCAAATATAATTTTTAAACACAAATATATTAAATTAATTATAAAACGTATACCCATGATAGTATTTTTCTCGTACAAAAATAATTAGAGTAAATTAAATTAATCATAAAAGATTAAAAATTAATTAAAGAATTTAAACTTATATTTTATATAATAATAATAAAACATTTTATTACGTCAAACCGTCGTGAAATAATTAAATAAAATTTGCTAGTTACGTCAAAGTCAAGTTTTCTAAGCTTATAAAACATTTTATTAAAAAACAGATTCAATAAATATAAGTACATGTTATATATATACTTATATTTATTGAATCTGTTTTTTTTATAAAATGTTTTATTATTATCATATATAATATAAATTATTTAATTATTTTTTAATTTTTTTATGAGTAATTTAATTTGTTCTAGTTATTTTTGTACGAGAAAAATACTATCACGGGTATACGTTTTATAACGAATTAAATATATTTATAAGACTTTTAACAAGGCTCTGTAATATAAATATAAATTTAACGTATAAGACGGGCAACAAGAGCCAAATCGCGGATGACAATGCGTTATCCTAACGGAACTAAATAATTTTTCGTTAGAATTAAATACCGGTGCACAAGGCACCAAATTTTTACTTGGACACGGCCAAGATTTTAAATATGAAATAATCTCATATTTTGAGATTTAATTTCAATACCCCTTTAACCCCCCTACGGAAATAAATAAATGAATGCAAGAGAAAAATATAGATCCGAAATTCGTTGAATCGGGAATCGAACCCGAGAGCGAAAGGTCTCGGGTTCGATTCCCGATTCAACGATTTTCGGATCTATATTTTTCTCTTGCATTCATTTATTTATTTTCCGTAGGGGGGTTAAAGGGGTATTGAAATAAATCTCAAAATATGAGATTATTTCATATTTAAAATCTTGGCCGTGTCCAAGTAAAAATTTGGTGCCTTGTGCACCGGTATTTAATTCTAACGAAAAATTATTTAGTTCCGTTAGGATAACGCATTGTCATCCGCGATTTGGCTCTTGTTGCCCGTCTTATACGTTATAATATATTTATGTTCAAAAATTATATTTGACCTTTAATTTTAATTTTGTATTTTATTAAAATTAATAATTAACATATATACTTAATTGCGAATTATATGGATGAACAAAATCTCTATTATGTGTGTAAGAGATTTCGGAACTCTTTGCTAAAATAATTAAAATTAAAAGTCAAATATAATTTTTGAACACTTTTATATTATTAAAAATATATAATTCGACTCTCGAAATATATTAATTCATTATAAAACGTATACGTATTAGTATTTTTCACATATTAAAATGATTAGAATAAATTAAATTAATTATTAAAAAACTAAAAATTAATTAAACGACTTAGACTTAGATGATAATAATAATGAAACATTTATTAAAAAATAATTATAATAGGTCAGGTTAATATTTTATTTATTTATTTATTTATAACATCATAAAATTCTGTCCTTTCCGAAATACGCGAACGCTACGAAAAGATAAATCTCGTACATGCCGCCGGACGAGTTCATGAGCATGAGACGCTCTTATCTTGGGAACGTATTAATAGTTACTGCATTGACTACTACTACGATATGGCGCTGAAATCAGTGAGAAATGCTGGTCTCTCCTTCATCCAGACCTTTGGCGATCTGTCTATTAATCTGTGTCATAACAGTGCCGGACTCGTGTCCTTGATTTCGTTAGTGCAGGACGAGGAGACTCCAAACTCGAGTCGTTCTCCGAAGAAGAGAGATCGTCCCCGAGAAAAATCCTTCCGAAAAATCGTATTCGTACTCGTCAACGGCCTATAACATGCTCACGGTAAGAGCTTTGCAAAGCACTTTAAAGCTCTGTGAAGAACCATCTGTCGTAATTTATTGTGTTCTCTTCCACGTTTCTTCGCAGTCTTTTTTCTATCTTGTCTAATTCTGTTTTGTTATAAATAAATCTTGTATGGGAGGATAGAAAATATTGAGCAACTACTGCAAGTGTGGAACAAAACGTTGCGATTTATGTGAAAAAAAAAGAATAAATAAGAGGAAACAAAAAAGCAAAAAAACAAAAGAAATAGAAAATTTTAATTTTGAAATGATAATTTTTTTGTTTTCAGACTGTCGTAAGAACCGTCGTTCGTCGCTCGTTCTCCACCTCAAAATGGGCAGCAGCACAGCAGGTGATTTATTTTCTACTGTTAAACTAACCTAAAATCTCGGTTTTCTCAATATATTGTAAAGATATGATAGTTTTCACTGATATTTTTGCATTGATCAATAGTTACTTTCGTTCCATTCTTCTCAGTTTAATTATTTTACTCATTTATGATTATTTGTTAAAATGAAAATTTGAAGGACATGAAAGGTCATTTACTTGTGATTCAGTATTCTTTTATGGAAATTCTTATAAATATCTTAGATGACTGTGCGAGATGCTTTGAACTCAGCCCTGGATGAGGAGATGGAGAAGGACGAGAGGGTGTTCCTTCTTGGTGAAGAAGTTGCTCTATACGATGGTGCTTACAAGGTCTCTCGTGGTCTTTGGAAGAAGTACGGAGACAAACGTGTCATTGACACACCAATTACAGAAGCTGGTTTTGCTGGTATTGCAGTTGGAGCTGCAATGGTGCGTTTACAGCTCATCATATTAATATTACATTTTTTTCTTATTGCTTTATCCAATTAACATAAGTAATATTTTTCAGGCTGGCCTGCGACCGGTCTGTGAATTCATGACATTTAATTTCTCGATGCAAGCGATCGATCATATCATCAACTCTGCTGCCAAGACGTTTTATATGTCTGCAGGTAGAGTCAATGTGCCAATAGTGTTTCGTGGTCCCAATGGTGCTGCTGCTGGTGTTGGGGCACAGCATTCACAATGTTTTGGTGCTTGGTATAGTCATTGTCCTGGTTTGAAGGTAGTATCACCTTACAACAGCGAAGATGCTAAAGGTCTGCTGAAGGCAGCTATCCGAGATCCAGATCCGGTGGTAGTACTCGAGAATGAGATACTGTATGGTGTACAGTATCCCATGTCTGATGAAGCTTTATCTAAGGATTTTGTCTTGCCCATTGGCAAGGCGAAGGTGGAGCGAGTGGGCAATCACGTGACGTTGGTGGCACATTCCAAGGCTGTAGAAGAATCCCTCGAAGCGGCTAATGAACTTGCCGGGAAAGGAATCGAAGCCGAGGTGATAAATCTTCGTTCTCTCAGGCCGTTGGACACAAATACTATCATACAATCTGTGATGAAGACGAAACATTTGTTGACTGTCGAACAAGGCTGGCCGCACTGTGGTATCGGTGCAGAAGTTAGCGCAAGAATCGCCGAAAGTAAGTTTCGTTCGATTATTGCGAAATATTTTCCTTATATTGAGAATATCAATCGTGAGACAAAAAAGATAGTTAAAATTGGAGACAGATTTAAATGGCAAATAACTGATCATTCATAAATGAAGATGGTTGGCTTTAGCAGTTCATTCTTGTCGATTCATAATTTATTCCGTGTTCTTGATGGTAACATTTTCCTTATTCGTTCAACAAATTAATTTTTTCTTTCAGGTGAAGCTTTTTATCATCTCGATGCACCCGTAATTCGCATTACGGGAGTAGACACGCCAATGCCATACGCAAAAACCCTGGAGATAGCGGCTCTGCCACAGGTCAAAGACATAGTGAATGCTGTTAACAAAGTATTAGGAGTCACGCAGTAATCGCAACGGTATGCAAGTACTTAGGTGAAATTGCTATATTTCTATGATTTTCCTAACACATTGTGGTTTTCCTTCCGGTTCACTGTTTTTCTATCTGGTATATCCTATTTTTGGTCAATCATTGATCAATACAATAATAGAATAAATACACAGAGAGATGTAAATTAAGAGAAGAGGTAAATAAGTACAAACAAGTTCTGTGAAGATATTACATAATACTCTATCACCGCCAGATAGAATTTGAAAAACATTTCCTTATAAGTTTTAATCATGGAACTCTTACAAGAAAGTAAATTTTTAGGAAAAGGGAGCATTTGTACATTTATTACAATGTATAAATGAAGTTCAAGCAAATGTACATACATACCTCTTCACATTAATGCGCAAGATATGTATTCTCTATACATGTCATGAATAGATAGAATATGTGATATCAATTACAATTATATGTGTAAATACGTACTAGTAGTTAGCAATATTTTATCAAATTACGTAAAATTATGTACAGATGCATTCAAAAGTTCTATTTTATTTGAGTCACGTTTTAGTAAATTAAAATTATCTTTTATTTAAAGAATATATGCGCGCAATATTATAATCTACTGCCATATATAAATATATATACATATATATATATATATATATATATATATATATATCCATATATCTAAGCTGCCCTTTTTCACATAGAGTTTCACATCACACATTAATGAAAATAACTTATAAGAAAATGTTGATAGTGCAATTACTGCAGTTATATGCGTTATTGCCCACATATATTTGACTGCAAAATTATAAGCAGCATAGAGGTGCTGCATTTGTTTAATTATTTATTACAGAAAATTAATAAATTAAAATTTAGAAATTCCGTCTTTATATAATTTATATTTATACCTTTTATATATATATATAATTTTTACATTGATATTCATGTATGATACATACGTAATAAGCAGCATGTCACTACTGTCATATAACGTTCAAACGCATCTCTCAGTTCTCCTTCTCTAGATAGAGAAATTGAATTTTTGAAATTTGTAATATTAAGCTTATATTTATTGTTGCTATATACTACTTCTCTAATACTTACCTAAGTACATCCATATCAAGAGCACACTGTGTGTAAACAGCCAAGAAATTTCGTAGATCGGAATGCGTCCAATTGACTTGTCGCCAAGGTTCGATGCATCTCTCCACTAGTTCCAAAAAGAAAAATCTTAACTCTCGTGATCTGTGCAAGTTGCATCCAATTCCGAGTATCGCTCTCGAATACGAACGAAAGTTCATGTCTACTTCTTGATAAGATCGATCGAGAAGCATTGGTTTGAGCTTGAGGCATACCAGACTAAAATGTCAAAGTTTTGATATATTGTTGTAATTTTATTGATAGATGAATGAAATCATTATCTCGATAAATCTCAATTTTTATAGAATTCAACATACTGTTTATGATGTTTATCATTTTCTAAAAGAACTCTACATTCTGATAATTCCTGTAGAAATTCTCTATCCAAATCTGTATCGAAGTATTCAGATCCAACACAACGATACGTCCATGATGCCATCATACTGTTAGCACAATGATATAAATCAGGAAATGTCAAAAATTGTAGTTTTCTTTTATTCATTTCAAACCGCAGACATGCTATAAATACTACTGCAGCATATCGTCTGTATATAAAAAAAAAAATAGTTAATTATAATTATTATTATTTATATATTATAATTCAATCATTTTATTACTACAAATATTATAGATATTATAAAGAATATTGCATACTTAGCAAGATCCTCCGAAAGTAAGAAATGTTGTTTGATATTGGTTGAAAGAGAACCTGGTAAGTCTTCGACAATTTTAAACACTCTTTTCACATTATCATATTGTCGTCGACAACTCTTCAATGTAATCCCTGTCTTCTCTGACACTTCGTCCATATCTTTTCTACTCTTGGATGTTATTTTCTTTCCCAATAATTCACGTATAACAATATCATCAAATTCATAGTACCTGAAATGAATAATAATTAATCAGTGTCTCGCAAGAGGAATTAATTACAAATTCCAATTTTATGATCAATAGTTTTCATCATTCTTTCAGTCTTACATTTCTATAAGCATTTGACTAGTTTGAGGTTCTATCTGAAAGGCCAGCTGTTCGCTGGCAAGCTTAGTAGGGGTATGAAGTAATTTCTCAAGTAAAGCATAGGTGCGATAGTGATCAAGTATGTCAGATGCGACCAGCTCAAGCGGTGCATTAGTTTGTTGACATATTCCTCGTTGATTCAGAATATTGACTGCTTCGCTGGCTAAAAAAAACATTTGTAATAATATTAATATTAATAGTTCTCATTTTTTATGCAAAAAAGTAAATAAATTAGATTATATTTCTACTCACAAGAATGACCGTCAACCCAAAGCTGATAGATTTCAGGATCAACTAGAGTATAATTACTGATAAATACATCAACCTCTGACAACATGTTGAGGTTAAGCATAAGTTGTCATTTTACACTGGATCACAGACGCGAAATTATCGCGAAAATCGTGCTAACCTCGATCTAAGACACGTTTTGTTCGAGAAAACTCGTTTATGCAAAATCATTATCGCGTATGAAAGTTACGGAATCTCGTCGACGAAAAATCTATCGATCATATTTACTATATTTAGGTTAAGTACAATTTCATGTTGCCCGCCATGTTGGCAATGACGTTCGACTCACGTGGTATCGACTATCGACCTATCAACGCCCATTTGACTCACGTAGTGCTGAATTTGAACCAGAAAGGGTGAAACGGTGAAACGGTGAACCAGAATGGTGCGCGTAGGTGAAGTGAAATCGTATCCGAATTAAATCTGTGCGAATCTGTGTAAATCGACGTCGAAATCCGGCGATGAGACGAAAATAATGAAGATCTTTCACGTCTGAAGGTAATTAAATGAATAGAAATGAGTGTGATCGCATTTTTATGTATAAACTGAGCGATTGAAATATGCATTCTTTTCGACGGCGAATTCGTCGATCTTTCGTTTCATTCGCATATAAAGAAGCTACAACTGCCTTATTTATTGCCGATGTTACATATATTATTAGATTATATCACATTACACATCATTATATCATATGTATTATGGGTGAATTTATTATTTATGTAGTATATATGTGTAAGGAAGAGGTGATCATAACCGTACACACACACACACACACACACACACACACATATATGAATATTGTGTATAGTATATATAACATGTAGGCGAAAAATTTATGATAAAATCACACAGAATACACAGACTATATTTTTGCCTTTCAATGTTTCTGAGAAAAATATCATTCTCATGTCGAATATATATAATATATAATAATGTATTTTTTGTGATGTATATAGATTGCGTGCAAATATTGGGATATGCAAATTGGCGGGATAAGAAAATGGCGTCCGAGTATATATATGTGGTTGATTCCCTCTACGAAATTGGTGAGTGCAAGAATAAGTGAGTAAAAAAATATTTTTAAATTTATTATAATAATGGTTAAATTGAGAAAAAAAGAGAAAGAGAGAATCCTTCGTTATCGAGAAATTAAAATATTCCATTTTAAAAATCAAAAATAAATTAAATTTTAATATAATTATTCTTATGAGATAATTAATATCAGTTATTAATAAAATAATTAAAATAGTTTCATTAGTTTCGTCCTTGATTAAAATTTACATCACAATTTTCAACTTTTAAATTAATTTTGAAGCAATAATTTGCAACATACATATTTAACCGAGGGGTTATTTAAACTCAACAATCATTTTTATTGCGTTACGGTACTACAATATTTTTATCTCATTTGTCGTTAATATTATAATATTAAACATGAGGAATATTATATTTTAATTGAATGTTTTTGATCAGATACTTTTTTCAGAATTTAAAATATTTTGATAAATGAGCTTTTAATTATATTTCTGAAAATAAAAATTACATTAGAAATTAATCTAGAAATTAATTATTATAGTTGTGCACAATGTTTTCAAATTTAATTTGCTAAGAGCCTTTAATTACTAATTTTTAATTTGTTTATTTTAAAAGTTTTTCATCGTTTATGTATAATATATTTTACTTTTTAACAGATTTAATATGTTTCAAAAGATAACTACATGACAGTATTTTCTTAATTATTTATATACTTTACAAGAAACTCTAAATTCTTATAAAATAAAATTTAAAAATTCACAGCAATTCTGCAAACGTAAACATTGCTCTGCTTTTTTTTTAATTCAGAATATTGTTTTTGCAACGAAACTCGTATTTAATTATTATTACTTGCACTTCTTCTTACATTATATCAGTTGCGAATTAAAGTATAGCTTTCAAGATATAGCTGTCGAGTAAAAAGGTCACACGATGTTACGATACAGCCCTTTCGCATGTCATCAGTGCTTTATCGGCGGTGCATTATTTTCATTTTTCCGCCGCAATCAGTAAATGCTTAATTAAAGTAATCGCCGGACTTTGGAGCGAAATAATACGGAATACGCGGACGGTATAGCGCACTCGCGCATGTATATATACAGGCGCACATATACATCTATATATATACGAATACGTTCACCGGCCGCAATTCCGCACGATTGATTGACAGGCGAAGTGCAGTAGCAGCGGCAGCGATCGAAATTACCATTGCACTCGCGCGCTCGTGCGGACGCAATTAATTCGCGGCGAGGCGACGTCACGTAACGTTAAACTCGTTATCGTGCGGGAAACGCGCGTTAACCGGCTACGACTGCCAACGCGAGCGAATAAATATTGTAGTACCGTAACAAAACCTGGCTGGACGCCGGATTCGTCTTGAGCGAAGTATATATCGATCGGGCCCATGTAGAACAGAATGATGAATATAATTCTCGTCAACTATATGTATAACGAGATAAAAAGTATCATGCGGACATATAAAACTTTTTCTTCCTTTTCTTTTCTCCTTCTTCTTCGAGTTAAAATAAACAATGTCGTTCTATGAAGTATGAAACATAGAAAAATCTCGTAATTTAAAATATTATTAACTTCTCTTTGAAAATACTGATGTCCTATTAATTTTGAAGTCTTTCTGCAACTCTGTTATAATGTCGTTATATTATAAATTCATACATATCTTCTAAAGCAAAGAATAATATTAAAAATTTTTAATAAAACATTTATATTTAGAGAATAAATTTTATTTTATATCTAATTCTATTATTATTCAATTTAAAGTCACACAGAATTATATTAATTGCTTTAATTTATAATGAATAATAATTGCAAACACAAATATAATATGGAATTTCACGAATTATTTCACTAGTTAAAGAGTTTTTTATGCACGCGTTATATGTGTTATTCACATTAATTTACATTAGAGTTAAAAATTGTGTAAAGAAATTATATAATTTATAATTTGATATGTGTGAAAGCACTACTAAAATACAATAATTCGCTCGATATATATGTTAGTCAATATATATATATATATATATATATATATATATATATTGTATGAATCTTTGTCTACAATTTTACTGCATATTTAACAAGAAAAGTAAAATACACTAAATATTTTTTTATAAAAAATGCGTGTCCAAAAAGGTAAGAGATACTGAATATTTTTTTATAAAAAGATACAAGCACAAAAAGGTAAGATATACTAAATATTCTTTATAAAAAAATGCGTGCACAAAAATTTAAAACAAGCCATGCGTATTCCATGGTAAATCTGTAAAAATAATATTTTTCTTATATCATGTGACATGTCGACTCATTATATGTATACGTCATTTCTATTTACTTAATAATCCTGAGCATTATAGTTGATCAATGCCTCTACTCATTAATTATAAATGTATTACAAATAAATAAGACATTTGCGTTTAATCTTACAATTTTTGCAAGATTATTAATGCCAAATACCTATTTATTTATAATCTATTTTAACTAACATATATTAATTTTGTATTCTCAAAATTTTCTAAAATATTTCTTTTCATTTTTCAAGAAATAATATTGTTACTTGTATGCTTTATGTTTCCA